GGACCCGGTGGCTTAAAACTCATGCCGGGCGCGTGTGCGTGCGTGCCCAAGATCCCGAGAGGAGAATGGAGGAGAAGGGATTGCGGTGTGGCCATCCCCCTCGGGGGGTGATTTCTCGCTTTCTGTCTCTCTCTATCTGTCTGGTGAGTGCACGCACCCTATAGCAAATACCTCTCCAAAAAAAAAAAAAAGAAAGAAAGAAAGAAAGAAAAAAAGATTTTTAGATTACCTAAACAATATATGCCATTATAAAAACTTTGGAAGATACAAAACACTATTCAGAAAAAAATAAAAACCACCTACCCAGATATAACAAATTTTAAATAAATTAAAGAAATTTCCATCCCAATGGGAGGGAGTAGCTTTCTCTCTCTCTCTCTCTCTCTCTCTCTTCTCTCTAGAGTGTGCACACACCCTCCAGCAAAATTAAAAAAAAATCCCTTATGCAGTGTTTGCTTTGACAACTGATATGATATAATTAGAATGATTCACAGAAGATTAGCATGGCCGTTGTGCAAGGATGACATGCAAATTCTTGGAACATTTCATATTTTTTAAAAAACAAACTTCTTGTTCAAATGAAAATTTTAGTCATGTAAAAATATATGAAAATTTAAAAACATAAACGAACCCAAGAGTACTTGCCTTGAATTTAAGTACAGCTTAAAAAATAATTATAATTGTAGTTGAAGTCCTCGCTATAGCTTCTTTTTTTTAAAAAAATAATTATTTAACTTTATTTATTTATTTACTTATTTATTTTTAATTTGACCAGAGAGGGACAGAGTGAGAGAATGAGAGAGAAAGAGAGAGGGAAAGTGAGAAAGCAAGCCACCACGTCTGGGACTTGAACCATGGTCAGCTATGTGGGAGTCCAGCACCCTTAACCACCATGCCACCTGCTGGTCTGCTCTATAGCTTCTTATTTTATTTTCAATTGCTAGAGGGCACATGCATGTACACGTGCACACTAGAGAAAGAGAGAGAAAAAGCAACCTCCCAATGGGATGTGGTCATGCCAATCCCTCCATCTCTCTGTCCTATTGGGATTTTGGGCACATGTGCACATGGGCCTGTGGTATTTTTCAAGCCAACAGAGCCAGGATTCAAACTGCAGTCAGCCATGTAGAATCCAGCTTCTCTTAGCACTTAGCCAGGGGTCTGGCCTTCTATAGCTTCTTTAAAACAAACAAACAAACAAACAAACAAAAAAAAACAATCAAATGATCTTTTAAAATAATTATTTATTTAATTTTATTTATTCATTCACTTATTTTAATTTGACCAGAGAGACACACACACAGAGAGAAAAAGTGAGAAAGCAAGCTATCAGGTCTAGGACTGGAACCATGGTTGGCCATGTGGGATTGTCCAACACCTTAACCACCATACCACCTGCTGGTCCCTCCTCTATAGCTTCTTATTTCTCTTCTGATCCCTCTAGAAGTATCCAATATCCAGAGTTGGTGTTTATAAAATTGCCTTTATGTCGTATCTAGTACCTATGAATGTATTCGTTTGAAATTGCATAATGTTTTTGTTCATGTTTTCAGAATTTATGTAAATACTATCATACTATCCTCACCTTTGGAAACTCATATTTTTTTCTCCCTGAATGTTAGGTTTTTTTTTTTCCAGGATTCAAACTGCAGTCAGCCATGTAGAATCCAGCTTCTCTTAGCACTTAGCCAGGGGTCTGGCCTTCTATAGCTTAGGGCGCGTGCGCTCGCCAGACAGACAGAAAGAGACATAGAGACAGAAAGCGAGAAATCACCCCCCAGGGGGGATGGTCACGCTGCAATCCCTTCTCCTCCATTCTCCTCTCGGGATCTTGGGCACGCACGCACACGCGCCCGGCGTGAGTTTTAAGCCACCGGGTCCGGGACACGAACCGCGGTCGACTACGTGGTAGTCCAGCGACATAGCCATTACGCTAACTGCTGGTTCCCGTGAATGTTAGGTTTTTAAGAGTTATTCAGGTTGACCCAAATAGTCCTAGCTCATTCATTTAACTGCATTCAACAGTACTTCTCAAACTTCACTTAGCACACTAACCACCAGGAGATCTTGTTAAAGGACAGATTCTGATTTGATGGGTAGGTCTTCGGTTTTCAGATAAAGCCAACTTTGCTGGCTGGGGATAACACTTGGGGGAGCAGGGCTGTATAGCATTTCCATGAACGACAAGGCACGATTTTTTCATCTAGTTCTATTGATGGGCTCTACTCAAGGGTAATATTTTTTTAACCATTACATAGCGTTACAAATGTTATAGAGAGCCTTCTTTTGTCCATCTCTTGGAACACCCATACATGAGTTCTCTAGGGTATATACCTAGGAAGGCAATTGCTGCTTCATAGGATATACAACTGCTGAGTTTTACTAAGTTCTACTAACTTGCTCTCAAAAGTGGTAGTTTTTACTGATCATTTCTAATACCTCTTTAAAAGAATTCCTTTTATCTCACATACTTAGAACTGCTGATCTAAAAAGGACAATTATAAAGCAAAAGCTTTTAGGGAAAAGAGATTTATTGGCTTCACAAAGCCTGCATCAAATAAGGGCCAGAGCTTGGGCACATGGTTGGATCCACACAGCAGCACAGGCTGATGGAAATGACAACCCACACCCACCCTGAAAAGGCAAGGGCCTGTCATGATAGTAAAAGGATTATGCTACATGTAACTTGTACTCAAAGAACTCATGTTGGACAAAGGTAACAGCAGGGTCTTCAGTAGAGTAGGGACAGGACTGGGTGAGATCTATTAGCAGAAGCTGTCCTAAGCAACTGATGGCAGTTCATTCAGC